TAGATCGCTTCTTTTTTTCTCTCCACCTCGACTGCTGCGTTGGTTCTGGGCTACCCGGGCCTGAGTAAGCCTGCCTCAGGGCTGGGATTAGTGCCCGTCCAGAGAGGTGTTTGTGTGTTTGTGTAAAGTGTGTGTGTGTTTGAGTGAGAGAGAGAGAGAGAGAGAGAGAGAAAGTCTTCTCCCCCTCCTCCCTCCTCTGCAGCCGTACGGCAGCCTCACCTGTGGGGCACTGGCAGTGGAAAGAGTTGATCTTGTCGATACACTTGCCGTTGTTCAGGCAGGGGCCGCTGGCGCACTCGTCTGAATCGATCTCGCAGAAGCCCCCCTCGTAGCCTGGCCAATTAGCAAGGGAGGACCAGGGGGGAGATGGATCGGTGAGACAGAGATACACAGTAAGAGGCATTTTCACACTGTAACATACCGCTGCACTGGATTTAAATTATATTACTGCAATTACCAATTATTCTCTTAGTTAATCAACTTATCTACATGAACAAATTCCTTAAAAATCTAAAAGATCATCAGTTTACAATCACACATGACAAAGAGAAGAAGCAACATCCTTAAAAACTTGGAGGGAACAACAAGAACAAGCAATTTAACTTAACTTAGAGATTCATGAAATATTGACTAAATTGTAAATGACCTAAAAGGGACGAGGTTCATGTCTACAGCGTCATGTGTGGTGCCATGTGGTCAGAGTATATAACCCAAACGTAAATTACAGGGAAAGTATAGAGAACCTCGCTGAAGCCTCAAAGACTGAAAATGAACAGATTCACCTAGAAGGAGTCTTTGAAAACTGCTTTTGATCTATAAGACGTGTTTTTTCTGATCCTCTGCAATTTGGTGACATGGAAACTAAATCTGAATTAATAATACTTTGGCCAGAAATCACAGATTTGCCTGGTTCCACAGCTGAATATTAAACTTTTTCCGGTCGAACCAAACCTCATGAGTATCTCACCTGGCATGCAGATGCAGTGGAAGTCTCCTATCTGGTCCAGGCATGTGGCCTCATTCATGCACGGGTTGGACATGCACTCGTTGATGTCCAGCTCGCACCGTGGCCCCGTGTAACCGTGCTGGCACTTGCACTCGAACGAGCCCTTGGTGTTGATGCACTTCCCTGCGTGCTCACACGGGTTGGAGCCTGGTTCAAGAGAAATTCAAACTTTCACTGTAACAGCTCGTCGCAAAAACTATTAGAATTTGAGATTATGAAAATAAGATGATATGGGTGGTTTAGTGTCTCATCAGTACAGTTGAAACAGGCAGACATGTGGCAGGTGAAGGAGTGTGAGTCTCACCCAGTGCACACTCATCGTCATCCTGGTCACAGGAAGCACCGTAGTATCCCGAGGGGCAGGTACAGAAATGATTTCCAGTGACAGGGTTGGTGTCACAGTTGGAGCCCTTCTGACACGGGTTACTGATGCAGGCGTCGTCCAGCTGGCACAGCAGACCTGGTACATACGGTAGATTTTATTTTTATTCCACTGAACCCATGACTGTCAGCCCATGATTCCCTGTTTTATGAACTGCAATTATCCCGAATCCCATGAATCAGTGACTCAGTCACTTTTAAATTTCTTTTTTTCCACTCACGGAAAATCTGACGCGAGTCCAACACAGCTTCGGGCATTTTAGAGCATGCAGAGAAAAAGTTGTCTTTTCATTTGAATAGAGAAAATTAGAGAACTGTTTGTTTCTTTAACGTTGTAGCCACTGTTATGTGATTATATAAACATTAATTCACTATCATCAGGGGCGAGGATTAACTACGTCTCTTGTTCAATGCCGTCAAACCAGGGTCCTAGGCTCCTTTCACATCTGCTATTTTGGTCCAGACCAAACAAGGTAGGTGTGACAGCTCAGGTAAGCTGACAATGTTACTTTAAGCCCTCCTGTTTATCAGCAGTGTATATACATCATCATCATCTGCAAAGCTTTTCTGTGGACACAGGACGTCAGGAGAGGCTGTTTGCTCAGCTTGTTTCTCTGATAACTTAAGATCCAGACGTCCGACGACTCTAACTAGTCCTCTGGTTAACCATTACAACCACAGGGCTGTAAGGCTGCAAACAAAGAAGCTGCTGTGACAGAAGGAAAGTGATCTGAAATGTTTTAATGACCGACAGCTGGTGCTTAAGGCAAACTCATGTCAAAGATTTAAAGACGTCAAGTCAAACTAAATAATGGATGTCATCAAATTAGTGTGAGTGAGTGAAGAAATTATACATCTGCAGACTGCAGAAAACACACTCATGTCAACCAACAGGAGTTTAGTTTAGTTTAAGACTCTGAAACCACAGGAGAAACCAAAGATCAGCATTTATGAATGTCACTTTCTCTGGTGTCGACTTTACAGCCTTTAATTTGAGCTTGTTTCAATTTGTGACTTCCTCGTCCTTCACACGGCATAATTAAAATATCCTCTAGTGAACGAGAGCAAATTCAAGCTTGTGCAAGACACTCAGAGGTAAATAAACCCTGACGTACCTGTGCGGCCATGGGGGCATTCGCAGTAGAAAGACGCCACGCGGTCGTGACAGGTGGAGCCGCTGTAGCATGCGGCGCTGGCACAGTCGTCGATGTTCTCGCTGCAGTCGTCCCCGGTCCAGCCGTTTACACACACACACTGGTAGCTGCCGTGGATGTTGTGGCACGTGCCACCATTTTGGCAGGCGTTGGGCATGAGTTGGCACTCGTCAACGTCGTCTGCGCAGAGCTGACCTGAGGTGGAACCGCGGGTCAGAGGATTACAGTTGGTTAATGTCCCATGATGCCACTTGTTTCCTGACAAATGTCCATATGTAAGAATCCAGTGTCGTACTGAAACTCCTCTATACAAACCTGTAAATTCTGGTTTACACTGGCAGTTGTAGGTGTTGACTCCGTCCACACACGTCCCTCCATTGTCGCACCTGTGATTGGGACAGTCGTCGATGTTGTAGTTGCAGTTTTTCCCAGTAAAACCTGAATTAAACAAATAAAAGACTCCATTTAATTTATTGCAACGTATTTTCTTCACTTTCCCTGAGTAACCTCTACTAGCGGGAGCTGCAGATGTTCAGTTATTCGTCTCTCCTGCCCTGAAAACTACATTGTCCCATCGCAACAAAGGGAGTGAAACTTCTCTACAGTTAAATGTGGTCAACTGTCTTGTTCCTGCCAGCAGACAGAAGGCAGCTGTACCCTCTTGAGGTCTGTGGCAACCGTGCCGTGTAATAACATCCACTGTGTTATACAGCTACACAAGAGGAAACCACTGGACTGCACGAGTGGCCTGTTGGGAAATATAAAACATGCTGCCAGGAGACTTAATGCGGAGATTATTGGTGTTTTTCTCAATAATTGCTTGTTTACTTCAAGATTCAAGGCTTCAAGATAGAGCAGCTAATTAAGCTAACCAACATTGCAAATGTAAGTGTTGCACATATTTCAAGTGAATTTAAAGATAAAATATATAAACTGCACTTGTAGCTTTGAATTAATGCAATAATTCTCCATTATTATTGCTTCACCGACAGTATTTGTTTTTATCCATGTATTTTAAACCATGTAATGTTCTTAAAAGGCCAGTAACATGATGTAGATATAGGGTGACATGGAAAAGAAGGTTGCATTTATGTGCATCCACAAATCAAGCTTTCTTTGTCTTAAATTTACATTATAGGTAAATAAGCAAAATGATTACTGTCAATAACAATTTATAACTATTCTGGAACAATTAAGAAAGCCTTCTTGATGACCAGCTTAACTATATGTGCTAATAGGCCTCAAATGAAATTATTGTTTACATCCATGACTGCAACCGTATAAAACCATCGGCCAATTGTTTAATCGTGGGGTTTATTGGTGAGATGGGATGGAAACTAAGACACATTACATAAAGCAAAATGAGCAGAGCTAAAGCTCCAGAGAAGTTTGCTTCACTCCACTATGTGAAAAGGATGCTGTCCATTTCCTTATGATAAACCCAGATGCCTTCCTGCTCTGCCTTGTTCACAAACGTACGCGTACACACACAGAAGCACAGGACGCAACACGAGCCGGAACAGCCCAGCCTTCGATGACATCATCTCTTAAACCAGCAATTACTAGACACTGACATTTAAATTCAACTCCAGAGACGTCAGAATACTCAGAGCTGAACGACCTCACGTTAACTCCAGAGGATCACGTGGTTGTTCAAAAACAAATCTAAGAGGTCGTGTGTGCAGGATTAGAGACTCCTCCTTTCATTCGGCTCCCCACAGCATGAATTTAGACGATATCTCTACCTGGCACGCAGGAGCATTCGTAGCTGGTCTCTCCCTTCTGGATGCAGGTGCCTCCGTTGTGGCAGGGCGACGGGCTGCACGGCAGGTAGCGGCTCTCGCAGTGCTTGCCCATGTACTCCTGCGGACACTGGCATCTGTAGCCACCGACCTCATTGACGCACAGGCCGCCGTTCTTGCAGGGCGATGGGGTTGCATCGCACTCGTTGACGTCCTGATTGCAGATCTTTCCGGAGAAGAACGACGTGCAGGTGCAGATGTAGTGGGACTCGATGGCAGAGCACTGGCCGTTGTTGGCACAGGGGTTCGAGGCGCAGGGGTCGGCTTGTGTGCACAGTTTACCTGAGGACACAGAGGAATTATGTTACGCTAAAATCTCAGGCTTTAAATTCTACACAACTCAAGTACTTCTTTGTCGAGGTTAATATTGTCGTTAATCACAAAACAAATCTTAAGTTTATCAAAGTTGTTAACTTTTTGGATTTTGGTTAAATCTCTGCAGGATTCAAACGATGTGCCGAGATGTAAATGTGATAAAAAGTCAAATAGATCCATGTCGATTGTAGAGACCCCTCGAACATCAGCCAGTTACCTGACCATCCAGGTGGGCAGCGACACTTGTACGTCTGGAGGGTCTCGAGCTCGCAGGTCCCTCCGTTGCGACACGGCGAGCTGATGCAGACATCGCTGACGGGTGTCTGGCAGTGACGGTCGATGTAGCCCAGTTTGCAGGTGCAGCTGAAGTCCACCGTGTTCCCCCTGGTGACGGCATGACACGCGCCACTGTTCATGCATGGCGAGGAGGTGCACGGGTCACGAAACTGGCAATGGCTTCCTACGTATCCATCCCAGCACCTGGGAAAAGACAAACACGGTGAGTCAGGAATGTTTTTGGTTGATCTTGAAGAAGATAAGTCTGAAGTCTCCATCTCACCTTCATTTACTAATGTATAGTTGTATATCTGTGATTTGAAGTATTCAGAAAATGTTTTTGAGAAGTTCAACAGTGAAAAAAGAGAAAGAAATACTGTGCAGCCATATTCGAGTCACTTACTCAATACCTTGATACTTTTAGTGATGACATACACAGTTACATATCTGTAAAAACTTTACTCAGCAAAAGAAAATTTCTTTTAAACTGTATATTTTCCAAATACTCCAGTACATGACATTTCCTTTTACCTATTTTCACCAGATTCATTTCAGAATAACTGTTTAAAAGTACCGGACTCGTGCACTGGATTCTGTGTTGATCATATGTTTTGATGGAAGTAAACTGAGATCAGAAGGACAATCACATTGTCTGTAATCTGCTAAACTCAATTTATTGTCCAGCACTATTCTGGGGTCTAGAAATATTTGAATTCTCAGAAAATCTCGTTACGCCTTTGAAAACTTAATCTTCAAACAAAAAACGACAAACAACCACCATTTTATCACAAACAGGAACATTTTACAAGTTCATAAAAAAAACATATCTTCTGCAAAAAATATATATCGGTTGAATAATACACGTCCGTCTTTGATTTATTTTTCTCATTTGGAATTAGCATTACAAATAGTCAAGTCCTGTATTTTAACAACCTTTCTCAGCTCGGCAGTGACAGCAGAGTTCAGAGGGGTTAAGACAACACTTCAGTCCCTTTGTCCACTTACTGTCCTCATAAATCAGCTGCCTGGGTAATAGCTTTGACCAATAGGACTAACTATCTGTTTCCCTTTAAAAGACGGCCCTGCTCTGCCCTGCTGTTTTTACAACACGGCAACATGGACACGAGAAAATATGCTCTGAACGAGACATTCATCTTCCTACGCTGACCCCCCCCCCCCCCCCCCCACGAACAATGTGTGTGAGGCTGTAAAACGGTGGTCTGAGACAGAGGGAGGAGGGGGCTCAAACTACTGAGAGGTTTCTCACAGGTTGTGTGTGTCATAAACGTCCACTGGACAAGTTCCCAGAGACACACACACACGCACACACACACACACACACACACAGCGGCTGCAGATCACAGGGACACAGTCGCACATTTACAATTACAATGAGAGGAGCTGAAGAGCGTCCCCCGAGGATACGCACGGCTCACCAAAGGGGCCACACACACAGCACGCATACACATATACCTACAGTGTGCAGTTTTTTTTACACACACACACGATTAAGCAATATATCATTTCATTATCCCCCCCTCCCCTACATTTTTCCTCTAGGTTCATGACGGTGATGAAAATAGTGAAAATGAAATACTGATCACCCACCAACAGACGAACAAACTAACAGACGCTGATAAAAACATTAATTGTTAAATGAATTGACAATCTAACCAAACATTAGAAATGCTTATTTCACATTTTTTTGTATAAATATAATTTTGGGGCACTACCATAAATACATTGAGGTCAACCCTCTCTACCACCACATTCCTGTTTTCATCACCTTCAGAGATCCAGTACTGCCGGGTGGCCAAGCAGGCACGGGCATTACAAAAACAAAGAATCTTCTCAACACCACTGGAGACGAGAACACAAAATATCTCTGGTATTTGGAATCCTTCTTCCTAATCTGCTCTCGGTAAAAGTAGAGACACGAGAAAAGCAGCCATCACGGCAGCAGCTCTCAGCAGAAATGTGCTCGCTTCAACTCTTTTGTCAGCACTCATTCATCCTGAGGACAAGGCCCCATCTATACCACAGCGTTTGAGCTGCAAGCCAACATTATGGCAACTTATGAAGCACCATGCCACAGCCTCAATGCTTGTTATTCTTCCCTCCCCCAGAGAGGATTTTCTGCAGCATCGGACAAGAGATGGGAAGGAGATGAAACAGAAGAGACCGGGGGAACAACCTCTGAATGTCTCGATATCAAAACGTCTTCTTTTTTTTCTCCAATTGATGAACTGCTCTGTTTGAATATTGTTGTGCTTTTACTCTCATGCAGAAACAATATTGTGCATAAAACATCCTGCCGACATCAAAGCGGGATTCCCACGACATAAAAACAAGCCGTCGCTCTCAAATACCTGAGCAGAGCCAACAAGTCTGTTAGGCCTGAGGGGCTGGCAGGACCCTGTCCCCAAACATTCCCAGGGGTGCCAGCCAGTGTGTGTGTGTGTGTGTGTGTGAGTGAGTGGGGGCCAAGCCGTGGCCCCTCTGTAGGGACAGGCGTGTGTTTAGACAGGGTCGCCCTCTCAGGGGATTAGACGGCCTTGGGACTGTGGCAACGAAAAGAAAACATCACATGCTAGGCTGCCCGCTGCATAAACAGTAGTAGTGAGTGGTGGTGGCATGTCACCACGTCCAGACCAGAGAGTCGGTGTCACTGAGGCACAAACAGGCAAAGTCCAATCAGTTGCATCCAAAATGAATTGTAAGATCACAAATGTTCAACATGTAATCTCTCCATCACAAAAGACAGCTGCAGGAGTTATTAATACAGTAAATGCTCTAAGAGGAAACCTACAAAGAAATAAAGGCCTTTGAATTGTATGAAACAAGTTGTAACATGCTTTGATTATGATTTATCACATCAATCACTATTATACCCATGTATAAATATATATATATATATATATATATGTACCACAAGCTGAGGTACTGAAATTGTGTTCTATTGGTGTCCATGAATTAAAGAATGAAATCTATGATCTGATCCAACTCTTCCTGTGGATGTAAAGTAGAGCTGTCACACATTCATTCCAGCCAGAGGGGGAAAAGTCAGCATTTAAATTAATTTGAACAAATTGCAGAGGATTCGATTTCTACTTGAATTCAGATTCTTCGACATGTTTTTTTAAACATGGGGCGACGGACATCATCTCTGTTACGCGTTCACGTCACTTTAAATTAAAACTTGTAATGCACCACAATCTGCATCCAGACCCTTGGAGGACATTAGAGGCGTGTGTGTGTGTGTGTGTGTGTGTGTTGGGGGGGGGGGGGGGGGCCTCTGGCTGCTAGAAGGCCAGTCCAGTTAAGCCCCAGCAGTGGCGGGTGCTGAGGTCGTGAGGCGCCACACGAACTCGCTGGAAAAAGGTCGCAGGGAGCAGGTGTGCATGTTAATGAGGAGACGGCAGCTGCTGCTCCAGCCATTCACCCCCCCCTCCCCTCCTCCTTCATCCCCTATCCCACCATTCTGCCTCCTTCCTCTCCATGGCACCCCATCCTGCTACTGTCCGAAAACCTACATACTCCCCAAAATACGCTTTTTAATTAAGGACTGGATGAGAATTAGTCATAGTGGTTATTTTATTTTGAGACATTGAGTCGACAGTGGTGGAGAAAAGATTTAAAAGTCTGAATGAAAAAAGAGCAGAAAAAATATTTTTCCCCTGCTTAAAATTGAAGTTGATTAAAATGTGATAAGAAAAAAGTTATATCTTTTCACTTTAAAATACTTAAATGAGTTGTTCATTTCTTCCAGCATTGGCATGTGAATGGCTGCTTCCTCTGATGGCAAAGAAATGAGGAGCGAGGCAGGAACAGAAAAGCCAGGGAGAGAGAGAGAGAGAGAGAGAGAGAGAGAGAGAGCGAAGGATGAGTGGGCCCATTGTTTCTCCTCCCCATTCAGAGCTGACCATAGGCCGGGTGTATTCAGCTGTTACACCTCCTCTTTCCTCTCCTTCCCCTCCCTTTTCTCTCTTCCTCTATCCATATCCCAAAAAAATCTTTCTCTAAATCTCCTTTCATTACATGTGGCTCATCCCTGAATTCCCCCCCCCCCCCCCCTTCATTATTGGTTTCACTTCCTCCGTTCAAAGCCGCATGGTCGCTGGCATCCGTCCGCTCCGCGCACCTTCTCTCAATCCAAAAAAAATTCTCCAACTTCTTTTCATTTGCAAGACATTAGGATTTACAAGTCTCAACTGACTACCGCTCACTCCCCCTCCCAAAAAAAAAAAAAAAAACTTTCCTCCAAGCTGCTCTGCAACTGTTAAGTGGTCTGCAAAGTTTGGAGCCAAAAAAGCGTACGGCAAAAGAAAAGCTTAAAATCCAAAACACACACAAGTGGTGGGGCAAACAAAGGAGTCTGGAAGAAAGGGAACTGGTTTGGTTGGGTTTTTTCGAGGGGGAGAAGGACAGGGGCTGCCAGCTCGTAAGGAATCTTGGTGTTTACTCTAAAGAGTCTCCTGTCCTGATTCCTAACCCGAGAAGCCTCAATAGAGGCTTGCTGGCAGCCTCACTTTATGGCTCCCTGAAAAAACTCACACCGGCTTTGAAACCGGCACCTTCCCCCGCAAAAAAAACAGCCCAGCGTCTCACACCGAGACCTGAAAGACAAACAGCCCTCTCGACCCTACCTCGGTGCACGTGGACGCACTATTCAAACACGCCCTGGCTGAGGTGCAGGCGGCAAGTCGACTGTAGCACATGCTAGGCAAAGAATGCTAACAGTTTGCTCTTTAACTTGGCGAGAGCACGTCAAATACACGCTCAGCACAAAGTGTTTTTTTACAGGCGCCAGGCTCAACTGCCTGAATGGGAGCTCGATCGTACAAAATAAGGGAGTGATGAGACAAAAGATGCTCAACGACTCTTTTATGGAGTCTTGCTTGTGTTCAAAACAAACAGAGCAACGCAGCTGCTTCAACAAGAGAAATCTGCCGGCCCAGCGAGCGGGATAATCTCGACAGCAGCAGGTGAACTGAGCTGCTGGAAAGGTAAATAAAGAAGACATGAAAAGATGGGCACAAATCAGAAGCTGAGCAAATATCAGGTGTTTGGAAGGTGTCATATAACTGCAGGACAGCAGCGGAATTATATCCGCGGTAAGGCCGATACTGTTATTATCTCCTCCGTCATCCCTGCACCAAAAGCCCTCATTGTTCCCCTCCACGCTCACTTCTGTGCCCCGTCTC